CTTTTCTTTCTTCTCCAGCTCTCTTTGCCTATTGGCTTAGATCAAGTGTAGTATCTGTTCTTTTCAGTTTAATCTCTGAAAGTTTCCGTCCAGGAAACACTTTGATTATTCCTATTTTTGGTCCCCGTGACTTGGCCCCTGTGCTTGCGCATGCCTTGTTGCACAGTGTCATTGGGCTTACACTATCCCCGATCGACGCGAACTACTTTTTTCATCAACTGTTCGGCATGTCCGGGCGCTTGGAGAAGATGTCTGTTCATAATGTACATCCCTGTGATTTGCTTGTCTAGTGAGTTGTCAATGTCAATGTGAAATTCCATTTTTGTTTCGTGGACTTGAGCTCCCAAGGTTATGGACCGTTTCCTAGGCAACATTCAACGATGAGACTCCTTCTACCACCCCAACCGTCCAGCAATCACCCCACTTGCTGGTGACTTTGAATGTCCACCGTTAGAAATGAACACATAAGTGAACCCAGGCTGATTGACAACTAGAAACAGCGGTACTCACAGGCACCCGTAATCTCTTTCATTTGCTAGCCTAGCTAACAAGAACACTGGCAACCCCCTTCCATGATATACATAAAGCCGTGTATGGGACAGCGATACATAAAGTATTCATAGAGTCAAGCATTTGCGATCATAACCGCCTACTTCATCTATTCGGTAAACCCCCCACCTCTCCGCACCAGTGCCGGCTTTGTGACGATCTCCAAATCGGCTATGTGCCACTTCGCAAGTTACAAAAAGATCCAATAAGTCTTAGAAACAAAATGCAATTTATTTGAAAGTACTCAACATGAGCAAATCAATAGACATCTCTCAGTCAATCCTCTATCCCAAGTGGTTCGGGGGTTCTGCATCATGCATGGCGGTCCTTGTTTCTCACCCTTTAGACCTGAGTAGGTTCAGACATTCTAAATCTTCAAAAAGCACAATTCTGATCAATCATAGTTAAAGTCAGAATGCAAATGGAGCAAGGTGGTGTGAAAGCTGGGACACTTAATACCTGCATTCGAATCGTTCAGGGAGAGGGCGTACTTGCACTTTATAACGGAGTAGGTCTAATGACGGACGGTTAATTGTGACGATATGCTCATTTACTCATGCTCTGAAGCTATCGGCAGGTTTCATGAGACAGTGTCAGTCCACCTAACTATCCCATCTCTTCCATCCAAATTGATATTCACCCATTCGGCATTAACATATGGCTCAGTCCGCATCGGCCTCTACGAGACACTAAAAGAACAAACCAAAGCGAACAGCATTCTCACCTCCCCACCACCAGTTCTTTAGCTATTAGCAGGAATCTCTGCTTCTATTGGCACAATCTTCGGCAACTCCTCAGATATAGGCAACATCCGCATGCAGAATGACGGCTCACTGCCTCCTCATCTTCGTCGCAATTACCGGCGCATCGAACCGGCACATCTTCAATGCGGTTTGGGCAGGGGTTGTGGCCAAATGCTTTCCGCTGTGGTATGATGACTAGCTGCCAGCTTGCATCATATGATAGTTTTAGGGACCTGATAGTGGCGACCACTAGGATTCATGACGATCATCCTGATTTGCATTTATCGGCATCGTTCTTGGCAGCGCTGGTCGCTACAACACTATGCAGCCCGATCGATGTGATTAAGACGCAGTTAATGGGGTCTTCAAGCAAGCACGGAATATTGCATGTGATGAAGGATCTCACAGCCACAGAGGGAATGAGATGGGTCTTTCGAGGGTGGACGCCCAGTTTTGTTCTCCTGGGGCCTCAGACTATGGCAACGCTGATTCTTTTGGAGGAGCACAAGCGGTTATACAGGGATTTCAAAGAAAAGACGGGTACTCAGAAAATCCCACTCTAAGTCAGTCCGACATATTGTTAGGCTCCATGAATGACTCAATATTTGATCTCACACTTGCGTAACACATGTGCCTATATACCTAAGCTTCGTACAATTCACCAAATCCATGCTAACGGACTGCTATTTATGTCTCCCAACTATGAGAAGTGTACTTTGATGTTTTTCATGGCCATACTGTGAAAAAGGTACCGGGCGAGCTAGCTAGATGAATATTGTTAGAGAGCCTGCTCGCTCTCACAGTGTTTAATATTCTGTTCTAGCCTCTAAAAATCGGAGCCTTAGGCCACCGCATGGCGACTACCCAAGACCGTCGACCAGGATATGAAACGTTTATTTTCTACCAGAGTAAACGCGATCTTTTGACAACTCAGTTAATCAGAATCTTCTTCCTACAACTCAGCTTTGCTTTACCATCCTCAACGCCCAAGCTATCTGCCACCTGGCCCAGCCGGCGACTTGGGCCCCCATCATCCTTCCTATCTTCTATGGAACCTATTCACTTGTTGCTATCTTACTATTTTTACCATATTTTTCAATACCCCCCGGGGCACCGCACCCAGTAGTTGGTCTATTTTGAGGTCGATCGCGGATCCGATTGACGAGATACGCACTAATATACGCTGAACCACCGATTCGTGATATGAAAATATCTAGTCAGCACTTGACCGAGACGCATGAGAAGTGAGTGAATCTCGCCTTGCAAGTTCAGCATCAATGGAGAGCCCACAAGACCACCAGTCTGAACGACCAACTCCAACTCCTGCCACACCCCTACTCTTCACCTTACCTGCCGAGATACGTTTGAAAATATTTGGCTTCTGCGTCCCCCGAAAATGCGCCATCAAAGTGTCAAGCACGAGATACCGGCCCTATGGGGTCGAACCTCTGGTTTCTACGCGGGACCCGTCCCCCGAAGAGGACAGGTTCTCCAACACCAGGCCTCTCTGGACTAACGTCTTACATGTTTCGAAAAGAATGAGCGATGAATGCTTGAACATCCTTTATGGCGAGAACTTGTTCGAAGTCTACCTGAACAGAGGAGCTGAAGCTACACTCAAGAAAACCTTCAGCAAACAAAATATCCAGCGAATCCGATTCATGGTCGCCATCGACCCAGGCCCATGTTTTAGCGGGGAATTGAATCCACCAGATATTCCTTTTTGGGAAATGACTGTCCCGAACTTGAAGTTGTTTGAATGGGTGACCCAGCCAGACAAGAAAGCTGAGGAGCACACGGGCGATCTCGCGATGAGGCAAAGGGTAGAGGATTGGATGGAGTGGACGGACGCCTACTTGGACTGTTTCAGCCAATTTATGGTGGCCGGGGTGGAGTTCAAGATGAGACTCGACAAAGGAGATGGTGAATACAGGCAGATTGGGAGACTTTCTTTCCGGCGAGGACCATTTTTCAGCAAGGATGAATCGCAGAAATGAGTTGACGAGAGCCATGTTGAGGACCCAAAAGGCATTCCATGACAATCAATGTTAGAATAGGCTTATGCTTGAAGTATGAAGTACAAAGTCCCAAGCAATGCAACGAGATATCGCCTCTACATCCAGCAGTACTTTGTAATGCTTAATTCGTTACGAACTCGTCATCTTCGTAGTCCCACAAAGCCTTGATATTTCTGGCCCTTCAACATTTCCAATGATTATCAGAAACTCCACTGCCTTTGGTGCGACTGTTCGCACCCCGGGCCCTGGAGGGCTCGATTGCACTCCCACAGCCTCATAACAAACACCAGGAAAGAAGAGCCGCGTACTTGTTTGTTAGGGCCTGTCAATTCCCAATGAATCTGTCAAAGCCTTGGTTAACATAACTGCCTCAGGCATTTGCAGGCGAAATGACTATCTGCCGGGCTCTCTCCTTGTCTCATCTCTCTCTCATCTGTTTTCGTCATTCACTCTCTAAACTGTGAATGAGCTTTGCGTTTCTCCAGTCCCAGCTGGATACTCTTGTATCCGGATGCAAGCAGCATGTCCCGTTCAGGACGTCGAGGACGCCTGCATCTCAATCAATTCCCCGCAACCTATGCGGTGACAAGATTTGTAGCTTTTTGACCACTGATGTTTCCGAGATCATATACCGCAATGCGTCGAAAAATCTGAATATTTCTCACCGCATAATCCATGGATATACGGAAGAAGAGCAGATCTGGACAAGATACACTTCGATGAGATGTCGACATGGGCTTACGTATTTCGAGCGGGTAAGTGTTCTTTTCAACGTCCTGATTAGATGATGTTTGTTCTGACCTTGAGCGTGGTTATAGTGTTTTGCAAAATTTCCGACCAAGGACCCGCATTCCATCTCTCTGGTGTTGGCGAGCTTCGAACGACCCATCAAATAAGCCTCCCACAGGGTGAGGACGAAATGATTTTGTGGAATCACCAAAGCCATAGTCAGGGCGCCCCTCCGTCTCAGATCTTTGTCTGGAGGCTGGTATATCCCATTGCATTTCCTATGCACGA